AGCACCAATCATAAATGTCTCTCAGGCCACAGGTGTCCGCCCAAGATAAACCAATAACATCTGTACTTAGGTAACACATTCTTTAAGGGATAGTCAATATGCGGACGTCGGTAAGGGCCTGGAGACGTCCTGGTAGAGAATACACTCTAGGGCTAACATCACCGTCATGTGAGGCCTACAGTGTGTTGTATGCTAAGCTATTGCCAATAACAATTTTGAGGGTTTTAGTTAATTCAAATACATTTTCTAATTATACTGTTTATTATAGTTATTTAAAAGGACATATATGTAACAATGGGTAACGGACAAGGAAACCCTTCACCAATCACCATAGTATTCTTTTTCAGTCTATTATAAACATTTGACCCAAAATGTTTGATAAATATGAATTTTAATCTAACGGTTTGAAAAGTACTTTTAAAACTAGAATAAATAACTTTTTGGGCGACATGACCAAATTCACATAGAAATGTGAGTTATAGGTATTTTATTTTAATTGAAAACAATTTTCAGAAGCGGTAGATCTGTTCTATGTGTGCTATTTCTATGCTTCCCCTTCTTAAGTTTTGTTTTTGCGCTTTTTACTTTTAGTTTTATACACCAGTTTCAAGCAGCTGAAATACAATCATTTTGGTTATGTAAAATATATTTCACAGCGGTTTTGAATGTTTTATTTGATTTTTCTACACAATGACTGCTTGTTTTGACACATAAACTGAAATTAGGCAAACTATTTTATCAACCAGGAAATGGTGGAGCGATTTCTGCATAGTTAATCTTTAAACGTTCTTTCAAGCAACAATACTCCCAATCGGTATTAGATAGAACGTCGTGTCCCCACCAACCTTGGTGGAAAACAACACGTGGTTACCTCGGTTATCCCAATGGCTCACAGCAAAAACGTAACCTTTTTCAAACACAATTTTCTTGTTTTCTGCTTGTTTTAGTCAATTATAAAACAACATTTAAGAAAAGTAAAACATGTGTAAGGATTACTTTTCCAACATTGCCTGCTACCAAGCGTTCTCGCTACTTAGAAAAATGAAATATTGTAGGTCTTTCATCATGCCCCTTTTCATGGTGGCGCTAGCCATGTGAGTGAGTGCTAGATAGCTAGCTACCAACCGGAACATTGGCTAGCTAGCCAGGACCAACAACACAAACAAACAGACTATACAGCTAGAAGTAGTGAGTGGGGTTACAAGTGAACTATACTAAACAAGTTAAATGTATTACTGTGAGTCTAGAGTCTAAGCCCTGTCTAAGCCGTGGGATGGGGGGGGTTCTAAGATAAGATATGGAATTTTTATAAGATGGTCATACCAAAGATCATTTAGCTATTTGAGTTTGAAGGTATCAAAAAACATTATAATTTTTTGGGGCGCTGAAACATTGAATTTGGCATTACTGCAATTAGCTCATAGAAACACATTAAATAACAGATTTACTACAAAAGTTTGGACACACCTACTCACTCAAGGGTTTTTCTATATATTTTTTACTATTTTCTACGTTGTAGAATAATAGTGAAGACATCAAAACTATGAAATAACACACATGGAATCATGTAGTAACCAAAAAAGTATTAACCACTACGGGATTGGTGTCCCATATACGGGACGGTTGAGCGATAACGCGCGCTAATGTGATTAGCATGACTGTTTGAAGTAACAGCAAACTTTCCAGGTCATAGCCATGTAAGCAGAAAGCTTACATTTTTGTTAATCTAACTGCACTGTCCAATTTACAGTAGCTATTACATTGAAAAAATACCATGCTATTGTTTGAGGAGAGTGCACAACAACAAAAAATGTATCACTGCAACTGGTTTGATACATTCACCTCTGAAGGTAAATAATGTACTTACATTCAGTAATCATACACTGATGTGTCATCCTAAGGGTCCCAGAGATAAAATGTAGCATAGTTTTGTTTGATAAAATCAATTTTTATATTCAAATGTAGGAACTGGGTTCTACAGTTTGAACCCCTGCTGTCTCTGGTTCCACACCCACCCCGCCAGGCCATCTAGATGTGTATAAGCTAATGTATGACATTCCTGGGAGTGTGTAAACATACATTTTGTATTACCATATCATTTTTCATAGTGTTGATGTCTTCACTATTATTCTACAATGTAAAAAATTGTAAAAATAAAGAAAAACCCTTGAATGAGTAGGTGTGTCCAAACTTTTGACTGGTAGTGTATATACACACACGCACATATATACATATAAATTGTTTTGGGGTCCGGACCCTTAGTGGCCCGGGGCCCTAATCGACCACTTATGTCGCTTATGCCTTTAGCCGGCCCTGCTGGTGGTTATGCAATGCACACTCATACACTCTTAGAATAAAAGGGTTCCAAAAGGGTTCTTAGGCTGTCCCCATACGATAACACTTTCAGGTTCCAGGTAGAACCCTTTTTGGTTTCAGGTAGAACCCTTTTGGGTTCCATTTAGAACCCTCTGTGGAAAGGGTTTTACATTGAATGAAAAAGGGTTCTACCTGGAACTGAAAAGGGTTCATAGAAGGGATCTCCTATGGGGACATCCGAATAACCTTTTAGGTTCTAGAAAGCACCTTTTTTTCTAAGAGTGTACTACCCCACCCATAGACTTTCTATATGAGGTTTTTGGGGAAATACTTTCTGTTTCTCTATGAGGGTTTTGGGAAATTGGAGCATCATTTTCCCAGGAATTGGGTAATTACTTCTTGTTTCTCTATGAGGTTAAGGGGAAATACTTTCTGTTTCTCTCTGAGGTTTTAGAATACCATTCAACTTTATTGTACAAGATGTGATTAAATACAGTATTAATGTTCACTTGCTGTGTTTATCATTTGAAATGTATGAAGGAAGACTGTTTCAAAAATATCCCTTGTTCCAGTTTCAGTTTGTCTGTGTCACCAGCCCCTCCTCTGTGTGACATTAGCTCTTCAAAAGTGGTTAGTCTATCTGGTATTCAGTTGATTTAAGGTTTGATTTAAGGGGCCTCATTTATAAATGTTGTGTATGCACAAAATATTTGTGCGACTTTACTTTAATAAAATGTTTGTTTTATTTAATTCCAAGTCATCTATAGAGATGCTGCCTATGCTGTCTGACTAAATCATTATTTTGTAGTTCTTACTAAATCATTATTTTGTAGTTCTTCAAAGTAAATAAGGCATTATTTTATGACTTCTGAATACCAAATATCAATCCCTTAGATCATTTATTTTCAGGTAGAGATACCATGCGAAGCAACTGCTTTCTATCACTCTCTATCACAGTGTTATCTCTTCTCTCATTCTCCATTCCACACCGTTATTATTATACACCGAACAAAAATATAAATGCAACATGCGACAAATACTCCTCAGTCTCATCAACTGTCCGGGTGGCTGGTCTCAGACGATCCCTCAGGTGAAGATGCCGGATGTGGAGGTCCTGCAGTCAGCATGACAATTGCACGCTCCCTCAAAACTGCCCATTTTCGAGTGGCCTTTTATTGTCCCCAGCACAAGGTGCACCTGTGTAATGATCATGCTGTTTAATCAGCTTCTTGATATGCCACACCTGTCAGGTGGATGGATTATCTTGGCAAAGGAAAAATGGTAACTAACAGGGATGTAAACAAATTTGTGCACAACATTTGAGAGAAATAAGCTTTTTGTGCGTATGGGAAATTTTTTGAATATTTTATTTCAGTTCATGAAACCAACACTTTACATGTTGCTTTTACATTTTTGTTCAGTAAAGCTCAGTTCTCCACACAGACCGGACGAGTAGGCGGCTGTGCAATGGATTATGGTCATTGAAGTTAATTACCACGTTTTCTGTGCTAAACAAAATGGAATTCAAATAATTGAACCAAGGCTCGTTCCAAATGGTAGATGGGTTGCCCCTTCCTGTATTCCCATATCTTGCAATGTGTTCACGTAGAAATGTATCAAATTGGCTGACAACTTTAAGCATACCCAAATAATTGCCATTTGAGATGGAACCAAATATTTATTGTAATTCCATTGTGAATTCATGCAACATATCTTGACAGGCATATAACTTGACCACATCAGTGCATTCGTTACGATAAAGTTAAGTCATTTGTTAATTTAGAGACAGGTGTGAAAGTGAAACCATTGTTGAAATACTATAAATGACTGAGATAGTGGGAAAACAAATTAGGCTGATCTTGCTCTGTGGGAAGATGTGGCACACACTGCATTTCACAGAGAGCGCTTTTTTTAGAGAAATGGGACTTTTTTTGTTGCAGAAAGTACAGATTAGCTGTTTCCCTAAACCAATCTTATAGGATTTTTGCGAGGATTTAAGATCTACTTTAAAATGGCAAACGCATGACATTCCGGTGCACATCCAAGTGCTATTCACCCTCGGGTTTTTGGCAACGGGCACTTTTCAGCGGGAGCTTGACTATCGGCATCTCACAGCCCTCGATGAGCCTATGTTTTGGATGCAAGCATCAGCAAAAGGAACTGTAACATACAATTTCCATACACCATCGCACAACAGGTTGAAGTCAAGAGGGGTTTCTTTGCCATCAATTGGTTCCCAAATACGAACGGAGCGAAAGAAGGCACCCACAACGCCATAAAAGCACCATCCTAAAACGAGTTCAACTCTGTGAACAAAAATGGCTTCCTTCCACTCTTAATGTGCAGGTGCTAGGTTATGTGATGCGCAAAAGATGCTGCTGAATGTGGTGGCAAGGTGGAGCGCACAACTCATTAATTCTGCAGAACTACAGTACAATGTTGGCCTATACAGGAGGGAGCTGTTGAGGATGGATTACCAATTGGTGAGTGTTGTATGCTCATTTGAAGTATATTTGCCATTGCTAAAGCAACTTGAATTGTTCTCTTTGTAGGTATGTTTTTATATTTACTCGTCAAGCCACAACTGAGCGAACCAAATAAAAAGTTTTGGTTGTACTTTGACAATCTCTTTTTTTTCCTTCTTTTTTTTTTTTGGTTGTGCTGTTGTATTTCAGCGTTCTATATTCCCCATGGGCTTTAAGTCTTGTATCAATGCACTGCTCTCATTCTGTTTATAAAGCCCTCTTGTGAAAACTTAATTCAGGGATGGGCAACTGGGGGCACATGGCCCCCTGTTTTGAAGGCCCTCAGCTAAAAAAAATTAGGAACCCAGTCGGGTTCTTTTCTACTTTTGCAAGTTAGAATAGTAGACAACACAAGATGCAATTTCGAAATTTGGGTGTGCTTCAGCAGTTTTTCTCTTGTTATGTCAGTCACTGATAGTCACTCAATTAGCCCATGTCAGCTAACATTTGTGGGTACGCAGACCCGCAAGCAACTGCAGCCCTTCATGATGAGTTCAGATTTTTTGTGGCCCCCACTCCCATCAAAGTTGCCCATCCCTGCCTTACTTCATTGTTAAATTCCAGACATACGAGTCATCAGACCCGATCACAGGGATGGCTAACTCTGGAGATCCCTTCAGTCTCCACTGAGTTAAGGAGTGAACTTTATTTCTAATGAGGTTTACATGGAGAAAATCTGACCTCTCGTTGTATTGGGCAGTTCAATGGTGAGAAATGTCTCAGTCCCTGGAGCAAAAAACGTACAGGACATCAACGTACAGGACATCAATAAGCTGCACACAAACATTATAAACCAGCATCCGGAAATCATAGTTCATGTGGGATTCAATGACATTATGAAGGGCAGCTCAGAACAGCTGAAGATGGATTTTAAAGAACTGATTGGGTCTCTTCTTGACACCAACACATGCTCTATAATATCTGGCCCTGTGCCCTCCCTAAATCGTGGCATTGAACATTTCAACAGACTTTTAGCCCTCCATAACTGGCAACGAGACTATTGCAGCTCTGTGGGTAACATGTATTATTTTGTTACCTTCTGGAAATGAAGCTTGTTTTATAAGGAGGATGGGATCCACCCAAATCATTTGGGTTCCTGTATCCTTTTACAGCATGATAAGGCTGCGTTGAGACAATTACTTATCAATGACCCAAGCCCAGCTCAGTTAATCCCTACCATTGTGTCGCTGAGTTGTCACAATGCTTCAGCAAATGTACATTATCCCAGGGGTGTTGGAAGACACAATATAAGTAACCTAATTTACAGTGCATTCGGTAAGTATTCAGACCCCTTGACTTTTTTCACATTTTGTTACCTATTTCCCTCATCAATCTACACACAATACCCCATAATGACAAAGCAAAAACAGGTTTTTAGAAATGTGTACAAATTTATAAAAAATTGAAAACTGAAATATAACATTTACATACGTTTTCAGACCCTTTTCTCAGTACTGTATTGAAGCACCTTTGGCGGCGATTACAGCCTCGAGTCTTCTTGTGTATGACGCTACAAGCTTGGCACACCTGTATTTGGGGGGTTTCTCCCATTCTTCACTGCAGATCCTCTCAAGCTCTGCACAGCTATTTTCAGGTCTCTCCAGAGATGTTCGATCAGGTTCAAGTCCGGGCTCTGGCTGGGCCACTCAAGGACAATCAGAGACTTGTCCCAAAGCCATTCCTGCATTGTCTTGGCAGTGTGCTTAGGGTCGTTGTCCTGTTGGAAGGTAAACCTTCACCCCAGTCTGAGGTACTGAGCGCTCTCGAGCAGGTTTTCATCAAGGATCTCTCTGTACTTTGCTCCGTTCAACAGTCCCTCGATCCTGACTAGCCTCCCAGTCCCTGCTGCTGCAAAGCATCCCCACAGTATGATAATGCCACCACCATGCTTCACCGTAGGGATGGTGCCAGGTTTCCTCCAGACGTGTCGCTTGGCATTCATGCCAAAGAGTTCAATCTTGGTTTCATCGGACCAGAGAATCTTGTTTCTTATGGTCTGAGAGTCATTATGGGCCTTTTGGCAAACTCCAAGTGGGCTGTCGTGCCTTTTACTGAGGAGTGGCTTCTGTCTGGCCACTCTACCATAAAGGCCTGAAATGTGGAGTGCTGTAGAGATGGTTGTCCTTCTGGGAGGTTCTCCCATCTCCACAGCGGAATGCTGGAGCTCTGTCAGAGTGACCATCGGGTAAGTATGATCCCCAATCAGAGACAACGAGCGACAGCTGCCTCTGAAAGGGGAACCACACCGGCCAACATAGATCTAAAACACCTAGATCACAAACATAGAAAAAACAACATAGAAAATCCACACCCTGACTCAACATATAAGAGTCCCCTGAGTCAGGGCGTGACAGTTCCCCCCCCCAAAGGTGCGGACTCCGACCGCACAACATAAACATAACAGGGTAGGGGCCGGGTGGGCATTCCACCTCGGAGGCGGATCCGGCTCCGGGCGTGACGACCTCTTACTCTCCGCCTCCCTGTTGCGCCCCTGGTCTGGTCTGGACCTCGGCGCGCTCCTTCCCCTCTCCTTCCTCCCACGATGTACCAAGCCCTGTCTGGGCCCTGGTGTGGGAGACCCCGAACCTGGAGAGGGGCTGACGTCTGGATCTGGACTGGAGCCGTTGACCGGAGTTGGACCAGATGACGGTGGAGCGGACTGCTCTGGCTCCGGACTGGAGCCGCTGACCGGAGCTGGATCAGGCACCGGTGGAACGGGCACGGGCCGTGCCGGACTGGACACTCGCACCACAGGTCTGGTGCGAGGAGCAGGAACGGGCCGGACCGGACTAGGAACACGTACCACTGGCTTGGTGCGAGGAGCAGGAACAGGCCGGGCCGGGCTGGCGACGCGCACCACTGGCTTGGTGCAAGGAGCAGGTTCAGGCCGGGCCGGGCTGGCGACGCGCACCACTGGCTTGGTGCGAGGAGCAGGAACAGGCCGGGTCGGACTGGGAACACGCACCACTGGCTTGGGGCGAGGAGCAGGAACAGGCCGGGCCGGGCTGGCGACGCGCACCACTGGCTTGGTGCGAGGAGCAGGAACAGGCCGGGCCGGGCTCGCGACGCGCACCACTGGCTTGGTGCGAAGAGCAGGAACAGACCGGGCCGGGCTGGCGACGCGCACCACTGGCTTGGTGCGAGGAGCAGGAACAGGCCGGACCGGGCTGTCGACGCGCACCACTGGCTTGGTGCGAGGAGCAGGAACAGGCCGGGCCGGGATGGCGACGCGCACCACTGGCTTGGTGCGAGGAGCAGGAACAGGCCGGGCCGGGCTGGCGACGCGCACCACTGGCTTGGTGGGAGGAACAGGAACAGGCCGGGCCGGGCTCGCGACGCGCACCACTGGCTTGGTGCGAAGAGCAGGAACAGACCGGGCCGGGCTGGCTACGCGCACCACTGGCTTGGTGCGAGGAGCAGGAACAGGCCGGGCCGGGCTGGCGACGCACACCACTGGCTTGGTGCGAGGAGCAGGAACAGGCCGGGCCGGGATGGCGACGCGCTTCACTGGCTTGGTGCGAGGAGCAGGAACAGGCCGGGCCGGGCTCGCGACGCGCACCACTGGCTTGGTGGGAGGAGCAGGAACAGGCCGGGCCGGGTTGGCGATGCGCACCACTGGCTTGGTGCGAGGAGCAGGAACAGGCCGGGCTGGCGACGCGCACCACTGACTTGGTGCGAGGAGCAGGAACAGGCCGGGCCGGGCTGGCGACGCGCACCACTGGCTTGGTGCGAGGAGCAGGAACAGGCCGGGCCGGGCTGGCGACGCGCACCACTGGCTTGGTGCGAGGAGCAGGAACAGGCCGGGCCGGGCTGGCGACGCGCACCACTGGCTTGGTGCGAGGAGCAGGAACAGGCCGGGCCGGGCTGGCGACGCGCACCACTGGCTTGGTGCGAGGAGCAGGAACAGGCCGGGCCGGGCTAGCGACGCGCACCACTGGCTTGGTGCGAGGAGCAGGAACAGGCCGGGCCTGGCTGGCGACGCGCACCACTGGCTTGGTGCGAGGAGCAGAACAGGCCGGGCCGGACTGGGTAAACGCACCACTGGCTTGGTGCGAGGAGCAGGAACAGGCCGGGCCGGGCTGGCGACGCACACCACTGGCTTGGTGCGAGGAGCAGGAACAGGCCGGGTCGGACTGGGAACACGCACCACTGGCTTGGTGTGAGGAGCAGGAACAGGCCGGGCCGGGTTGGCGACGCGCACCACTGGCTTGTTGCGAGGAGCAGGAACAGGCCGGGCCGGGCTGGTGACGCGCATCACTGGCTTGGTGCGAGTAGCAGGAACAGGCCGGGCCGGGCTGGCGACGCGCACCACTGGCTTGGTGCGAGTATCAGGAACAGGCCGGGCCTGGCTGGCGACGCGCACCACTGGCTTGGTGCGAGGAGCAGGAACAGGCCGGGCCGGGCTGGCGACGCGCACCACTGGCTTGGTGCGAGGAGCAGGAACAGGCCGGGCCGGGCTGGCGACACACACCACTGGCTTGGTGCGAGGAGCAGGAACAGGCCGGGTTGGACTGGGAACACGCACTACTGGCTTGGTGCGAGGAGCAGGAACAGACCGGGCCGGGCTGGCTACGCGCACCACTGGCTTGGTGCGAGGGACAGGAACAGGCCGGGCCGGGCTGGCGACGCGCACCACTGGCTTGGTGCGAGGAGCAGGAACAGGCCGGGACGGGCTGGCGACGCGCACCACTGGCTTGGTGCGAGGAGCAGGAACGGGCCGGGCCGGACTGAGAACACGCACCACTGTCTTGGTGCGGGGAGCAGGAACAGGCCGGGCCGGACTGGGAACACGCACCACAGGTCTGGTGCGAGGAGCACGAACAGGCCGGGCCGGGCTGGCGACGCACACCACTGGTTTGGTGCGAGGATCAGGAACGGGCCGGGCCGGGCTGGCGACGCGCACCACTGGCTTGGTGCGAGGAGCAGGAACGGGCCGGGCCGGACTGGGAACACGCACCACAGGTCTTGTGCGAGGAGCAGGAACGGGCCTGACAGGACTGGGAACACACACCACTGGCTAAGTGCGAGGAACAGGAACGGGCCGGACCGGACTGTGAAGGCGGACTGGAAGTCTGGAGTGGTACAGTGCGTTTCTCCGCATACCTGGGTTCCTTTATTAACCCCCGCTCCTGATGCTGCCTAACCAGCTCCTCTCGCCGTGCCTCTACTTCCTCCTTCTCCCTACGCGCCTCCTGTAGTGCCTCCTCCTGAATGGATCGCTCCCGCTCTATTCTATCTAACAGCCCCCGTAATATGGTGGCCTCCTCTCTTACCCGGCACTCCTCTTCCCGTGAGGACTCCTCCGGGAGCCCCCACGAGTTAGGGAACAGAAACTCGTCGTCGTCGTCATCCTTCGACTCCTCAGTATAATACTGTTCCCACTCCTCTTCCCATGGTCGTAGGGACCCAATCTGGAAACCCACCGGATGCAGTGGTCGGGGCTCTTCTCTCTCGTTCCCCGACCACCCCTTTAGCCCCCACCCAACATTTTCTTGGGGCCGCTTCTCGGGCTTCCTCCTCGGCCGGCTTCCGTGTTGCCGTTGCTCCTCTCCTGCCTGGGCTTCCTTCTTCGCCCAGGGTCATTTTCCCGCAAATATCTCCTCCCATGACCAAATCTTCCCCACCTGTGTCCAGGGTGTTCGGTCCTCCTGGGCACGCTGTTTGGTCCGTGTTTGTTGGGATCTTCTGTCACGGACATTTAAGGACGGGTCAGACCAAGGTGCAGCGTGAAATGCGTACATGTTTATTTAACTGATAAACACACGACAAAACAACAAACCAACGAAACGTGAAGTCCTAAGGCTACACACAAAACAAGCCTCTAACACGGAACAAGATCCCAAGCTTCCTCTGATTGGGAACCACACCGGCCAACATAGATCTAAAACACCTAGATCACAAACATAGAAAAAACAACATAGAAAATCCACACCCTGACTCAACATATAAGAGTCCCCTGAGTCAGGGCGTGACATGAATGAGTAGGTGTGTACAAACTTTTGACTGGGACTGTATGTAAATAAGGTATTTGTGTTTTTAATTTTTATACATGTGCAAAAAAGGCTGTAACGTAACAAAATGTGGAAAAAGGGAAGGGGTCTGAATACTTTCCAAAGGCACTGTACATCTATTTTGTATAGTGATGGAGTTAATTTTGATTAATCTAAATCCCTTGGAACAATGTTCATCCACTCCAGTGATGATCATCAATAGGGTTATAAGGATCACTCAATAATGGGGCAGTTAAATACATTGGTAAGCCTAATCATTTTTCAATATTTTCAATCTGGTAGTAGGGAAGAAATCCATAAAAAATATTTGAAAACAATCATGATGAACAATTATAAAAATATTAACTCACTTCTTTTTTTTCTCTCTCCCTTTCTGGAGATATTTACAGTATTACTTCTGAAGTGCTTCAAACTCCATGATGCATGCGGTCGAGCAGAGTACAGAATAGGTGATGAGTGCTGTCCTATGTGTTCTCCTGGTAAGATATACCTTTATATAAGGGTGTGAGGTAATATCATTTCTGGATTGTGTTAAAATGAAGAGTGAAATCCAATCAATTTATGCAAAACACCCAAGGAATTACAGAAATAGTTCTGAACAACACTCATTGTATTTGTCTGTGGCCTAGATTAGAGGAGCAACTATGGTAGCATTGCTTTGATGTGTTTGAAGGATGCACTAATGTCCCAATTTGTTGAGGGACGCACTTGTGGACACATTAATGGACTATTTATATGTTACACAGAGAGTCAGGACTCAGCCCTGAGTGTCTCTGAAATCTCAACTAGTCCATCAAAGTTTTTCTGAAATATCTGATGATCATCTTGATTGACTAAGTGCTTATGTTTTGATCATTTCCCCGTCAGGAAACCATGTACACAAGCACTGCACTGAGTTCACCAGTACATCCTGTGTACCCTGTATTGACTCCACGTTCCTTGGCGAGCCAAACGGTCTCATGAGATGTGAACCGTGTACCATCTGTGACTCAGGTCAGTAAAGCCAGACATAAAACACGTGTTTTCAATGTGATGTGTGAATAAAAACAGCACATCTTAGCCTTATAATAAACTCCATGTGTTTTTCCTAGGTTTGGGTTTGAAGGTAAAGCAGCCATGTAGACCTTCATCAGACACTGTCTGTGGGACACTGGAGGGGTTCTACTGTCTAGACCCAACTAAGGATGGTTGTAGAGCAGCCCAGAGACACAGCAGCTGTAAACCTGGTCAATACATCAGCCACACAGGTTGGTCTCCTCTCAAGTATTCAACATGATTTTTCCATGATTTCTATTGTGCCAAGTTACTCTACTGAATTTAAAAGTAGCTGATCGTTTGATTGATTGAAATCATTGGACAATTAAAATTAAGTCAAGATAAGTACATGGGAAAAGTTTAAGTACAATGTTTACAAGTTTGTTTTGGGAAGTATAGTTTTTTATTTATGTTTAAACCTCCATTTGTACAGGAACAACATCTACAGATACTGTGTGTTCTGACTGCACTGGTGATACTTATTCAGATGGATCATTAACAGCCTGCCAGTCACACACTGGGTAAGTGTGGCTTACACAAATAGTTTCCCCCCTAAATACAAAGTTACCTAACACACATCTAAAACTGAAAGATGTATGACCAAGTTATAAAGGAATCATTAATGGCCAGTATTTATCTGTTTATAGATGTGAATCCTTGGGACTTCAGGAAATGAAACCAGGATCTCCTTGGTCGGATTCAGAGTGTGGACCACAACTATCCCATTCCACAGCTAGAAGCGGAATGTGTGCTGTGGCATCCATGACAGTTCTCATGATATTAGCTGGAGCTGTTTCCTTATTAATATTAGTGAGAAAAAGAATTCTATCTGTTTCTAACAAAAGCGATCTCTAGTGTTCTGGAACAGAACCGTTATTTACAAATCTTGAGAACCGGTTTATATAATGTTGTTTTGTTTTTGTTTATTTTCCTTTAGTTAACATTTTAGTCAACCTTGAGGGTTCAAAGGCAGAGGGATAGATGGTACTGTTAAAATTAGAGCACTGCTGTGGTAATCAGTATATGGCTGTATACCCATCAAACCTTATCAAATGGACAAAAGTCACAACTTGTTGTTCAGTACATGAGCTGAAATACTATCACAGAACTCTGAAATATACAGTGCAGAGGAGTCCCTCCTTCCTCCCTGACCTCTGGCCACATCCTCATTATGAGAAATGATCAGTTCTGTCAGCTTCTCTTGAAGCACAGAGATCTCTTGGTCTTTCTACAAACACTCCTCTTCAAACTCTGACAGGCGAGTGATTTCCTCACCTAACATCAGTATGTTCTGCTCCTGTAAAAAGAGGGATTACAATACTACAACTACAGTCACTACCAACCTCTAATATGGTGCACAGCCCACTGAGCCAACCATAGTGCTAGCAACCATCAGATCCTTCTAGATCTACTAGGGGACATTAAAAGTGTACACAAGGTTTTCAGACTGGGCCACACTAATCTGTATAAAATGATGTACTTTCTCATGTAGTAGGGTCATGTACCATGGTACCTTTGTCGTATATGATGATTGGTGGCAATTATTGCTGTCAACAAAAGGAGTCTGCTCATACTGAACATTGATCATAAGGTTTATTCAGACCACAAGCTTCAGCATGAGTTTACAGACACGCGTGGTCCGGAGAGCAGTGTCCTCCAATTCTTGTGTCTGCTCTGTCCTATCTTCTTCGTGTACCCCTATTTATAACCAATGCAACAAGATGGGCTCCCTCTTCTGGCCAGTTTACAATACTTCCTGTCTATTATATGTTACATTATACTAACATAACCAACATTCCATTTCGTCATGAAAAACATTTAACAAAGGCATAATCTTCAGATACGATATTCCCCCCTTTCGAGACGAAATAAACGTCTCGAAAACAAACAGAATAAGATTATGACTATTAACCATTTATCTCCTTGAGTATCTTTAACATTAAACCAAACACATTCTCCTCTAGAGTGTAAATACCTTCCTATGAAATACCTGTTTATGAAGTGTGAATCCATTACTATGACCTATGAAGAAATATCTATGGAGTGTGAACACATTACTATGAATTATGAATAAATCTCTATGGAGTGTGAGAGCGAAAAACTGTCCAGCAGCCATCCATCCATATCAATCAAGACAGTAAAATTCTCTCACGGTCCCTCTGCCCCAGGCAACCACCGTCGGTACTCCAGATAACCTCATTAACCATGTAAATGCATTTGAAACTATGATGTAATTAAATACCCATGTAAACAAAATCCTATCCATAAATATCCATTGTACAACTGGTCAACCCATCGAATCGTACAATGAATCTCTCCCTTCCTAGACCTTCTGTCCCTAACCCCATCGAAATAAACAAAAGCATCTAAGATCCTCATCTGCATTCAATAACATCAAACATCATTCTACTAAAATCAATACCTAAGAATATGACACAATTATGTATTACACATGTCTATATTTCATTGCAGACACTGGAATGTAGTCCACTACACTTCATCTCCCTGTAATGTCCTCTTCCAATGGACTTGTTGATGATGGAATCAGCCACACCCTCCTTGTTTCATCTCCTCCAGTCATATTGTCCCTTCATATTGTCTTTGTTTGAGTATTCCAATCTCCACATGTTCTCCCAAATACTTCTGGAATGACAAGAAAATAAACAACCAAACAGTATCTTTTGCAAACCAACATTTTCAAATTAAACCTCAATTTCACCTAAGAATTTAAAAAATGATACATAAATGATGTATGAATCACATTAACCTATCCCCCCCTTGATTCATAAATCATACTAAAATCATACTAAAAAAAAAATGTTTTCCTTGAAACAATAAAAATAAAACGATCAAATAATTAAAAAGGATATTTATCCATTCAGTAGTCCATCTAGACCCCCTCGTCCGTCTTAGTCCAGATCCGGAACAGTCAACACCGGCATCTGAGTGTTGTCTCCAGGCACCACTTCTCCAACCTATCTCAATCTCATAACTTTCTCAAAAGTCAGTACAAACATCACACAGTGTTATCAAAGCTTAAACTAGAATCTGACCCATCACTGCCCCTACTGGCCTAATTGATCTTGCAACCAAATCCTTTCAAATGCATCCCTTATAATGCATCTATAACCCCAGTGATATTATCTGAACTATCTGGACTCACAGTATAACTAATATTTATCAATATTATCTTCCCAAATGTTACACCATACCATGAATGAAGTCCCCCCTTCTCCCTTAAACTTATTCTTCAATGATAGGCTTGAAGACTATGACATGTCGCCATGTGTCTGCTAAATGACTAAAATGTAAATGTAATGTCACCCTTTTAACCCTAGAGTTAGCTGTGTTCAATGCTATCCCTCTTATAATGGTAAAACCTCATATGGAAGCTTAAACGTTGACCTGTAACAACATCCTATCCCCCATAGGGTAAGAATATACTCTATCATCACAAACCCACCAAATATCTCTAAAATTCCCATAGTCACATTGTCAGTCAAAAGCTAATCTTTTAACCATCAAAGTCCTGCTCTTCTTACTACCTGATATATAAACAGTAACCTATTATTTGTCATTACTACCCTTAAGGTCATACTTATCCAAAGTTATCATCTAACATCCCAATCTGATCTTCCCATAAACATACCCCTTACCTCATATGTTTTATTAGAACAAACACAACTTTTATCCCTCAATATTTCACCTGAATACTTCAGGTTTCCACTGTTACCTGACTTTACATCTAACAATTCCCATAGGGTAATCCATTTACCCAAGAACACTTAAACCCTACTGTTCTGACAACGACATTAGTTTATCTGTCAATGACTGTTGCCAATTCCACAGTCATGACAAAGCTCAAGACTGACCCACACCTGACAGAGGCTGCGCAACCGTCTAACAGGTTCGGGATGGAATTCTCAACAGACATGGACCCTCAAGATTCCTCACTGACCTTACAGAATGAGTTAATCTATCTCTAATTTCCACAACAGAGGAACGAGCAGCACTGATCAGATGCCCCCCCCCCTCTGTCATCAAAATCAAAAGACCCCATCCTGCAGCTTCCATGATGAATCTATATTCTCCATTTCAGATTAATCTATATTGTTTCTATTAATATCTGCTCTCCTTTTTTAACCCTATTCGTAGTAACCTAAACCCCTGAGTCTCTCTTGCTGCCTCCTTTAATTTCAGAAAAGTTGTTGTCATCCTTCCTACATTTGCTATTACCATCGTATCATTAATCCCTTCCCAAAGTTACCATTAACGTTGTTGATTTAGTTGATGAATTAAAACCCTTAATTCCCTCTAGTGGGAAACTACCAACATCCTATTCGATTATTCCCTGTTGGAGTGACTACTGTAATAAACTTATCCTTAACTCCCTCTGTGACTGTGGAAAGTTTTACAGACTTCAAATCTTCCATTATAAGCATCACCTTACAAATTACATAGCCCTTTAACCAATAATTCTTAACCGGAACAACTTCTAATGCTTGCACTAGATAAGTACACATATATTCTCCCTAACCTTTCTCTGTAACATTACGCAAAATAATCCCTTATTTGAGTAGGTGCAACAGCTCCTACTTCTGATCCTGCTAACCATACTTATCCTCCCTAATTATCTCTCTCTCTCTCTCTCTGTGAAAGAAACGTCATCATCCTAAATGGCATATTATAATTATTATTCTCCTACCCCTCATAACAGTATTTTCAACCTATAATTGATGCTGGACCCTTAATCAAATGCGCTATATTTATGGCTTTAATAACTATCAATGTTGAAAGAGTTAAATTACTTCTACCTGTTATTTTGATAGACTCACGTGTTGATGTCATTATTGTTACTACCTCATCCCTAGTTTTCCCCTAAGCTCTGAACTCTTTCCTTGTACTTCCATCCATCACCCCTAGTGTCACTTTTTCCCCCTTTCAGTTCTACCTCTAAACTTTAAACTTTTGATTACACAAAATACACCTATAATGACATTGATCTCCCTGCTGGAAACTGTAAATATAGATACTCAATCACCCTCACATCATTCAGCAACACATACTTTCTCAATGCATCTGCTCCTAACCGATTTAAACTCCTACCATATCTTCCCACTAAACTTTAAAATGTCCTTCCTCACTGTTCTCTCTCTGTCTTACTACTAACTTTGAAACTTAGCTTACTGTCTCAGAGTCCCTTCAACCTAGCCTACCCCTAACTTATTTTAATCTAATCTTTTCTCTCATAACATTTAAAACCTTTTCCCCTGATTTATTGACAAAATCTCTTACCACCAAATTTTTAGAATATGTGATTGGGAAAGTTCCCCACCTGCTTCTGACTCATTACACACAGACTTGGCAAAACCGACTAAACACCTTTTAGCCTAACCTCAAATCTCTTAGTGTAAGAATGTAACCCAACATAACAGTCACCCCTATTAAGTTTTTTCAGACAGATTGTCTTAGACAATCTAGTGTACATCTTATTGTACAATTCAATTCTCTTCCCAACACTACAATAACAGTATCTTCTAATATTAGTACTTCTATTTTGATTAACTGTTTTACTACCTCAAATCCCTATCCTAATTCGTTATCAATTAGTAATATGTTTAACCTCTTTAGGCCTAAACCCAGATAAGTTTTCCCCTATTCACTATCCCTTCTAATGGTCGGTTGTTTCAACTGTTAGCTATTTTCTCTTCTCCTCTAATCGATGTTCTCAGCTGATACCCCCCTTCCGGATATTGTTCAGTTAAAGCTGTAACAGTGATTGTTGATTTGATTCACTCTGATTCTTCATAACCAACACTTCTTTTCTTCTTCTCCACCACCAGTTATAATTGACT